CTCTCCAGGAGCTCTAGATCCTTTTTATCCTGGATGTACTGCTCCAGTGCAGGAGCTGAGCGCTCCTGTGGTTTGTGTTCCAGAAGCTGCAGAAGCAGCAGGCGGTGCAGCAGCAGCAGCTGGAGAAGCAGATTCAGCTCCTGCAGCAGCATCAGGAGATGCTGCTCCCGGGCCGGGTCTCCGGGGAGAGGGTCCCTGCAGAGCCCGGGGAGCCAGGGCTGAGCCAGGGAAGCGCATCGCAGCTCTCGCAGAGCTCCGGCCCCTTGGCCCACCTGAAGGACCTGGCTAATGGGCTGGTCAGCCCCCATCCAGCTGTCCTGGCAGCTGCAGAAGGTGTGTGCAGGTGGGGATGGGAAAGGTGTGAGGGGGTCTCTGTCTGTAGGTGGTGTCACCCAAACAGGAGCAGGGATGCCCACAGGTGAGGGGGCTGCAGCCCAACTGAGATGAGAGGAGATGCACGACCTGCTCCTGGATAAACATGGGCTGCAAAAGCAATTTCAAGAGTAGGGCCAAAGAAACAGCCAGGTGGTTAAAGAGTTGGATGTCCTTCAGATAGGCTGAAGGATGGATGTCTGTCTTCCTCTTCCTCTGCAGATGCAGAAGCAGACATGATTGTAGTTGGGAAAGTTTCTTTTAACCCCAAGGATGTGCTAGGCCACGGAGCTGGAGGAACCTTTGTCTTCAGGTGGGTGGCACCCTGGGGTGCCTGCTCTCATTTTGCTCTCACTCTCCCTGGAGCCACAGGAACAGCACCAAGGCAGCTCCTTCCCTGGCTGGTGGTTCGGGGGCTTTTGAGAATGGGTTGCCACCTTGCCCTTCTCATAGTCCTCACCAAACCCACCCGGGGAGCTGGCTCATGGCCGTCAGTACCATGTACCGGTGTGCAGGGCAGGACTCCCCTTGCCCCACCACCTTGTGCTCCCCTTCCCCTCCCACCTGCGCGGGCTATGGGGCAGCGGGGCTGTGCGGCTCCAGCAGGTCCAGCCCCTTGGAAGGTTCCCCCGGCTCTGGCTGAGCCCCTTTCGCCAGTACCAAACAGCAAAAATTGAGGGAGGTTAAAAAGTGGAACCTGAACCCCCAGTTCCCAGCTCTCTACAGAGACTTCTGGCTGTCTGTGGCTTTGACAAGTCTCTGGGAGTCACCCCGAGGTGACCCGTGCTGAGGACCCCGAGGGGTGTTTCCAGCATCGACTGGGCTGTGTCTCTGCAGCGCGGGGCTCTGCTCTGGCTGGGGGGACCGTGCTGGACACCGCGGTCACCTCTCCGTGCAGGGGACAGTTTGATGGCCGGAACGTGGCCGGGGA